ATTTTAGCTTGCATCAATACTATATCCATTATCCACGGATGAAACGACATCATGCTTATTACACAATGCAAGCAAAAATACGATTAACGTGGTTGAAAAATACTGTCAGATATGTATTCAGTTATTATCACGTAGTCGTAGTGGCTGAAATTTGGATATATGTATTTACCCATGTACGCTGTCAGTGCTAGGATCATTACCATTGTAGTAAATATAAAATGTAAATCTGCTTTTACCACTTCTATCTTCATAGTTCTGCACATCGAGTAATAAAATTTTTATACATAAAGTTTGTCATTGCTTAAAAAAAAATTTAATAATAGTCTTGCACAATCTACCGGTAGTTGGTGGAAACATAGCAGAATCTTCCTGACAACCGGATATATTTGCACAATCTACCGGTAGTTGGTGGAGACATAGCAGAGTCTTCCTGACAACCGGATATATTTGCACAATTCTACCGGTAGTTGGTGGAAACATAGCAGAGTCTTCCTGACAACCGGATATATTTGCACAATCTACCGGTAGTTGGTGGAAACATAGCAGAGTCTTCCTGACAACCGGATATATTTGCACAATTCTACCGGTAGTTGGTGGAAACATAGCAGAATCTTCCTGACAACCGGATACATTTTATATAGCAAATACAAATGTTTTCCCATAAAGGTGGCTGAAGCAACACATGAAGTTGCATGTTTGATTTACTAATCTAGCTGTTTAGTTTTCCTACTTATGTTTGGTGTATTAATGTGTTCTAACTTATCCAATCATGCAGACCTCCAGGGGCACAGCGTTAAGTCTGTCTTATGTTCATTGTATTTATGTGCTCTAACTTATCCCATCATGCAGCCCTCCAGCGGCACAGCGGTAAGTCTGTCTTATGTTCGGTGTATTGATATGCTCTAACTTATCCCATCATGCAGCCCTCCAGCGGCACAGCGGTAAGTCTGTCTTATGCTCGGTGTATTGATATGCTCTAACTTATCCCATCATGCAGCCACCTAGCGGCACAGCGGTACGTCTGTAGGCTTATAACGTTAAAAATCGAATTTCAAAACCGTCGGTGAGCAGAGCACGGATAGCCTGTTATGTATATTTGTGTTTATTAACAAACAAATATAGTCATCATGCAAATTATTTCATTTAGCACATCCATAACTTCATCGTGGGAACAGGTTGTACTTGTTGACCGTTTTGTGTAGAAGCATGAACATGCAACTTTATTTTATGAATAATTTATTTACATTCTCCAACCTTTGTTTGAATGTTAGTACAGTGATGAATATTGTGGTATATTTTCTTTGTACTACTATTATTTTGAAAGCCAGAAAAATAGTTATAATGTTGACTTTATTTTTTTAACTATTTATTAAAATATTTGCTCTTGGATAATATTTAATCTTTTCCTTGTTCTAAAACGATGTTGTTGTTGTTGTTTTCGGTAATGCTGATGGTTAAAACGATGTTGTTATTTTCAGTAATGCTATTGGTTAAAACGATGTTGTTGTTGTTGTTGTTTTCAGTAATGCTGATGGTTAATTTTACTTTATAAGAATGATGTTTTGTGTCCTCTGCTGTCTTTGGAACTGTTTCCTTCAATACTGAATGTACTCAGTCTCATTGCATTACTCACCACATTTTCTATTTAAGTAAGCTTCTGTGAGGAGCTGCGAGGTCAATATTAGACCGCACATACTCATCAGCTTTCCACAGACTCTCCATTACACATAGACGTCGGCTTTCAAAGCCGAACATTATTTATAAGCTTTCCACAGGTCCTCCATTATACATGAACGTTGACTCTCAAGACCACATTTAAGCACGTCATAGATTCAAACGTCTATTAGAGCTGCATCTGAGGACTTGAAAGTTAAGTAGTCAAATGGTATAGGTGTAATTTCAGTTACTTCAGTCATTTCGAGTGTTGATTTCTAGATGTGAATGGAAGCTTGTAAACGTTTGGTATGCGAGTTTTCTCTAACTTTTAATCTTTTTTAGTTATGTTGTTTACGACACTAGAAAAAAAGCCCAGATTTAGAGCAATAGCTTTTTCGGGTCGGAGAGTTCTCTTTCGTAATTATAGTTTTTACGGATGAGGGCGTTACTCGGGATTAAACTAGGTGTGGTGTCCTAAATACTCGGCTGCTTTAGTTTTTTCACTTCCTATGTTGTGTTCTTCAACTCTACGTCGTTTAACGATTTCACTGCAGGAATACTTCCTCTTTGGAATTTTTTTTCGATTACAAATCCACTTGTGGAGACATTGCAATGTCAGATGGTCGGAAATTCACACTGAGATAAATATAGGGGTCTAAACAAATCGTCCGTTACGCCATGGTTTGCACCTACAGTGAAACGTCACTGCATCATTATTTCTCTTATGTACAATAAAACATCTGTAAAATATAAAGGCTTTATATTCTGTCTGAAACACAAAGACTGCGTAGCTTGAGTTAAGGGAAACCGTGACACCTTTAGCATTTAACACTTTTACGTTGATAATCAGAGGAATTGAATGGTGTACCACTGTAGGGTAGCAGTGTGGAAAAATGCACTGGTATAGATGAACTTAATTAACCTCCTTCAGTTTGTTGAACGAAACGTTCCATTTGATAATAATCATATATGTAATTTGTTTTTGAATTCATATAATAATTCACATTTTAACCTATATTTCGCAAAAGGTAAAGTATTTATTTAACAGATGTTATTAAAATATTTGTATTTGTATTTTGTATCTACGGTATCTATATACTAAAGCTATCTGACGCAGTCCCTAATTTTGAACTTCTGATCAGAAGAAAAGCAGCCAGCCAGCAGCAACCTGCCACCATCGAAATATATTGAAAAGAGATTCCTTCATTTCGGTAAAAATGAATTCGAAAATTTAACTTAATGTGATGTGCAAACTAATTGGTCGTTTTTGATTAGAATAATTATTACTGAATTCAAAAACATAATTAAAAATAGGCGAAGCATGCATTGAAAAATATATATAAATACAGTATACAGTGACGTGTGTGAGATTTTGCAACTTCATGATTAAATGCAAAATTTATCTCAAGCTATTACAGACTACCACTTTCATTTCAACTTAATGAAGGATTTACGAAACCATGAAAGTACGTCCTGTTTTCCACAATAAAGCCAGTCGTTTATGGCTTTTGTTTTAATTAAATGGCTTCACTTTCTGTGCACCATATTTCACTGAGTATTTTTCAGTTATGCAAAACACTTCAGTAGATGTTTTAATAACGTCAGATAATTTGAAATGTATAATACAGGGATACATCTACGACTCGAGCGGTAATGACAACTATATTATTAACGAAATTAATTATGAATCTTTATACAGTTTAATAAAACTCCGTGTCAACTGTTGCCTAGTCAACAAAACCCATTTTACTAAGAGCCAGGACGTACACACACACCCAAAAAAGAAACAAAAATACTATTCAACGCATCACGTACTCGAAAAACTAAAAGTGAAAGATACTTGAACCGTATTCCGGGTAAGGTAATTTGTAAATGATGTTTAAGTTATCTGAAAAAGAAATTCGTGCTAGAGTTCTCAACTCTACTATAACGTTATAGTTTGATCGTTGTAGAATGATGTAATAGTAGGGTGTCGTGCAACAAATGATACATTGTTCTCTATAAATTATCATACTGGTTATTATAAGAGGTTCATTTGAATTCGTAAGGCTTACAAATTGAACAAGAATATTTGCAAATGTTTCCATGTTCGTTTAATCTAATGATTTTTGAAATACTTTCATGAATGGTAAGCCACATTTACTGGAACACTTCTTACGGATGAGTTGTTTTTAATATTATAGATACAATTAGTTATCAGATTTAAAGATGCGCAGAAGTTAATAGGAAAATCTATACTAACCTTACTAAACGTTTAAATTTACTTATACAGTTTCAACAAATACGACCAGTTTCTGAAATAATTATACCCTATATACAAGAAATAAAATTCAACTGATTTATGTCGACGTACTACAATTGTTTGTTTGTTATGAATTTCGCGCAAAGCTACTCGAGGGCTATCTGCGCTAGCCGTCCCTAATTTAGCAGTGCAAGACTAGAG